TACCAAATATTTACATTCTTTTATGAATCTAAGTTTTTTAGTAACTTTAACTTTCTCAAAATTCATTGTATATTTTGTCCTACAGATTTGGAGACAAATCAACGATATGAAGAGGTAATGAAGATAGAAGCGGAATTACCAAAACGAAAAGCTGCTTTTTCTTTAGCAAAGTAAAATAATTTTTGTGTGTAAATAAATTTCGTATAATTTGAGAAAAAAAACTGTCATACTCCTTTTTTCTATTTTGCCGGATGTTTCAATTGCATTATTAAAATAATCTAGTGTTAACAATTTATAAATATGCCATAAAAAAAATTATTGATGCATTTCCAAATGAATTGTTTCACTAGTAGTACGTTTTCAATGACTTGATACGAATTCCATATGTTTTGCTTTTTTGCGATAGTTTGTCTTGTTTTTGAGTCAGATTCTGAAGAAACGTCGTAGATTTGAATTAAAATAGGCTTTTATTGGTTATAGAACTTGTCAACTTGTAGAGATAATGTTAGTGTGATCGCTTCCCATGTGGCGTGGAGACGAAGGAAAATGGTTAAAGATTTGATGCTTATCTATGTCATCAATTTGAATACTTCTCCTGAAGAGCGTTTGATACCATCACCATGTACGTGCCGTTCAGTAGCTTGTATAGCCGGTCTTCATCTTCCAGATGAGGCGTATATTCCAGGTAGTTTTTTGTAGTTCAATATCATTATACGCAATTATTGAAAATCTGTTGCCATAGCATATTTTTGTGCACTATAAATTTGCATTTTAGGACACTCTGATGTAGAGGTCAGCGCTGCTACAGGATATGTCATACAAGTCCTATCTTTATTATCGAGAATATATGATTTTCCTTACCAATATCGCATGTTATTTTGGGGGTCGAAATCAACAATCAAAAATCCAGTAAATGAGGAAATGTAAGCGTCAATTGGCTGATGATATTATAAAAAGAATTGAGCTTTTGCTCTTTTTATTGGTTCTAACTCATCTGGCTGTATTTATTAAATTTCAGATGAAAGTATTTTTAAGCTAAGATATTCATAGAAACATATTTTAGCCATCATCTCTATGGCTTGACCAGAAAACGGGAAAATCAAGAAGGAATCTTTTTATTGAATAAAAATTTAGCTCAGCTCCGGTGGTCATTTGGTTTAACAACGAAGAAATTTGGCAAAACTTTATTCAATTTACAAGATTTACTGCTTCATATTGTAAACGAAAGGTAATAAAATTTATCAATATTTGGTTTCTTTGGTATGTTTGGTGAAACTCTATTCACTTTTTAGTAATGATAAGTTGTTTAGGAAGTCACCAGAGAGCAACGTAAATAAGCCCAATAATAGTACAGATACACTCAAGATTATTAATCATGGATACAGATCTATGGATGGGGATCACTCCAATTTTTCGAGGTAAGCAAATCTTTAGCAGATTCATTGCTACGAGGATAATGTGATGAATAATTCAAAAATTCATTCAAGAAATTGGTTTGACTGCATATATAAAGTTTGCTCAAGTGGTATTTGTTAATGCCAAAGACAAGAAATCTTAAGTTTTATTCTTTACAGTATCATTTTTGTTTCATAAAGAAATTGTTCCAGGCAAAGAAGCATTGGTTCAAACAGGACATTACTTTACGACTCAACTGCTGTTGATGCGGTGTCGTTGGCATTTCCTCCGAACAATGCAGAGGGTCAAATGAAAGCAATACCAGTGTCGAAGCTAAGCACCAATGACATTATATCAAGTTAATTTAACGTAAGTTTTACCAAAAATATTCTGCAGATCATGTTAATTTTTTCATCTATTATTCAGTAATAATGTCTAGTCCTTTGAAAAAACTGAGAAGGTTAATGGACTGTGCAAATGTTAAATTGTTTAGAAAGTTATGGTAAATTGCTCTTATTTTTCTTTCTTTTTCAAAGTTAATAGGCATAAGCTTTAGTAGTTTGGAGTCTTTGAGTGCAAATAGATATGCAGATTCAAGTATTTTTTTAGTTTTAAAAAAGATGTGCATGAGTGGAGTTATTGTGGAATTCAAAGTCTAAATAGTTAGCATCATTTTATTTTCTTTGTGCAATATCCAGCATTTAGGAAACTTTCATATCTTGGAATTAATATTTCAGTTTTCACAGAAATGTAATTTTTTTGTTGAGTCATTGTTAACTCAGTTTTACTTTTCTCAGCCAGCAGTCGTCAGTCGTCATGCAGAAGTTTACAACGATTCATTTTATGATATCAGTGGTATTTGAGTGAACATATTTGTTGCCTTTGGTATCATTTTTTCTCTTTCTTAACCGATTTCTTAACTGCTTTTTGTAAATTCAAATATCATTAATTGTAAGCATTAACAAATCTTAAATCATTACTGCTTTTTCGCAGTAATAGGCGTTCGATTGCCTAATTGCCTTTTTTCAAATTCAAATATCATTAAACTTAGACTATCTGGAATTCAGCCAAATTAACATAGTCGACAATAAAATTTGCTTTTATTTATCGTCTTTTCCTTGTGAATCATGTAATACTTCAAATTAATTTTGGCTCAACTCTTTATCATTGAAGTCATCATAATTGTATGACGTTTTAATTGGTGTTATTTGTCTTCGTTTCATATCTTTTAGAGTTTACGACAGAATTTCGAACTTGCTGAATAGTAGATCTCTTCTTTGCAATTTTTCACTGTACTGAAGTTATGTTGAACTGGTGTGACCAAAAATATTTTTGTGACTTAAGCGAGTGGCGAGTGGCGTTATTTTAGCGGTCTCCTTTTGGTTGTTTAATAAATTTCTGCTGTTATAAGTCTTATGCGGGTTCATATTTGCCTTAATGTTCATTCTTGAATTCGAAGTTCAGTATGTTTATGATTTCGGAACCTTTTTAGTGAAAATTATTCCTTTTTTTCTGCAATTAATATATTACTATTTTTCTTCAAATTTTGTTTCAGAGGAACAAATGAATAATCAACTAGTTTATGTGAATTATTCTTTTTTAACACATGACTTTATTTCGATGATTTGCGGCTTACTTCTTAATTCATTTATGATTTGATTTTGCTCACATCTGCAGAAGTCCAACTTACCAGTATATTATGTGTATATTCGTCGAAATTGTGATCAGTTTTATATCAGCTGATGAAAGTGAAACAAAGTTATATTTTCTATGCATAACATCAATAAAGTCTAGTCGCTTTTTACTGTGGTGATTACTTCATTTCATAAAGTTTGAAAAAATATGATATTCTTACTGCATTGGGAATTGCATGTGGAATAACATACTTTTAGTGATTTCTTAGACCCAACTAGTATGTTTCGTCAGTTTACAACTACTTTCAAGAGTTTGTGATGGTCATGTGAGAAGATTAGATTTTTGGGTTCATTTGCTATGGCTATGCATAGACGATGAAGTTTGAAGACAGTTTTTTCCTAGTAGAATTATTTGTTAATGAACCCACCAAGTTTGTCAGAAGCAGAAATCTTGTTAATATCTCACCGTTCGTGCGATTCATGATTTGGATCGTATACTCAAGTTGCCTATTAAAATGGTGTTCAAAAACATGTACTGCGGAATTGAGGAGAGTTCTGAATCCGTCAATTTCTAGTTGCTTTAAAACATTCCCTGCGAGACTTGCTACATTGCCTTATGCAAAACGAGGAAGTGGAAATCGCAAATGATGCGAGATGGTTAGATGAAGATGAAGATGAAGATGAAGTAAGGGATGATGTCGAAGTGGAATCAGAAGCAGGAGAGGTATTGCTGGAGCCACGATTCAAGTATTCCAGAATCTTAAATAATGTACCTGTGGTAAGTTGTTGCAGCACTTTTGCAAATTGTATAAGCCTTTATGAACTATGAGTCTCCCGAATTCCAAATTAAAATTTACTGAGGTGAAGTTTTTTCTCCAATGTGGTTTTCTTTTTTTAAATTTTATAAAGCAACTAATTCGTCAGAATTAGTTGCTTCATAAAATTTATGGCAGCAGTATAGTTGTTGAAAATATTTTTCTTTTCGTGCCATCAGTTTGATTTCAGATACTACGAAAAGATATGGCGACTTGTTTGGCAATACATGACAAATTTGTTGCTCTGGGAAGTCGTTCTGGAAATATATATGTTTTCGATCATTTCGGAAATTTGCATCCCGAAAGTGTTAGATTTGATATTTAGTAAATTTTATCATCAAAGTCATAAAATGCGCTCCGTATAAAGACTTCAGTACTGAAATATTTGCAAAAACATGTCATTTTCTCAATTACATTAATTGATTTACTAAAATGTTTACTTTGTTACTTTAGACTGCACGTCACCATAGATGTCCTGTTACGAAAATCTCAATTGATCCGACAGGTTCATACTTCGTAAGTTGTTCTCAGGATGCTCGAATAAGCATTGCAGGAATCACCGCTACCGAACTTGCTCAAGTATTTTTCAAATAATAAACTCGTTTTGTTGTTAAAGTAAGAATGTCATAAGAAGGTAAAATGTATTTCATTCTAGATCGTTGATCTGAAATTATCTGCTCAATCAGTAGCAGTCGATCCAGATTTCACCAAACGTGGTTCTGGGCATATGTTTGTGACGGGTGAAAGAAATTTATTATTGCATCAACGAACTTTTTTCGGAAATTACAAAGAAAAAGTAAGGCATATGCTTAATCTAAATAAATGATAAATATTTATATAAACAAGTAACTTTACTGAGGCATTTTTGTTTACTTCACAGCTTGAGTAGTTTGAAAATTTATTTTCTTGTGATTTTTCAATGTAGTGAAAACAAATCTTTTCATTGATTTTCATATATTATCAACAAGAGATGTTGGACCTTATCATCAATACAAAAACTGTCACTCACTGACCATTTGAATATCAATGACAGAATTTTATCTTTTATTTTATTTAGATTTTATACGAAGGTATGGATTGTGATGGAATGATTATGCAACTTTCATGGTATGATGCATATATAGCTTTTACTAATGAAACAGGTACGAGGATTTTCGACAAGTCAGTGTTTTTGAAATATGCAGTCTCTTCTTCGCGATTTTATTTAATCAGTTATTTTGTGAAAGCCATCAATATTTTTTATGCCATAAACATTACTTACATGTTTGATTTGAGCTTTTTCGTGCTGTCTAATATTGTATTTCACGTAATGATATCTGTTTCATTCATCGTATCTGCTTTGAATCTTTAAAAAAAAGTTCTTTTTACTAATCA